TTTTGATTCCTAAACCGTGACATGATAATAGATTTTTACAATTAATTTTCAAACAAAAAATGTATATGAATGTGCAACACATACTAGAGGACTTGAGAAGTAAGAGGCCCCCTCTCGAAGTCTCGCCTAGGACCCCGGGAATTTAAGGGCCGGCCCTGCATCAGATGACTCTTTTTTTTTTTTTTTATCTTATCATTTTTCTCAAGTTTTTTTTTTTTTATATGGTCCCCTCTTATGTTTAAGATGCTCACTTTCTCTCCAACTCATGATGAGTCTATTCCTTTCTTTTTTTCTCTCCAAGATATAAAAGAAGATGTAAATTTATATAAATATTTATATTTTTTTACTAAAATATAAATATTTATATTATACATTTCCAAATACACCCTAACCGAATTTGGGTGGAATTTGGGGGTGAGACGGTCCGACACGATGGACCATGTCTATTCCTTATCGGTGTCACATATAGCCCAGTCGTGCTGCAAATGTTTTCTTTTAACAATAGTTTTTTTTTTTTTTTTCTTTGGACAAAAAAAAATAGCACACTCTCCAATGAAAATAAGTCAATCATTGTACGTGAGACTCACTTGTGGCAACAAGTTCTATTGTCTAAATATTATAATTCATATTTCTAAGCTAAAATCGCAAGTTTTTAGTTGACTAAGTTTTTTACATCGTACACAATAAGGGTTTGTAATAGTTAATATTTAAATTCGATATTTAAATTCGTATTAGTCATAAATTTTAAGTCTAGTTGTTGCATTTGGTCCGATATCCTAGCTAGTGGTTAGAGACTTGGGTTCCTACCTATGGTCTGAGTTTCAAAACTCCTCCCTTCTTTAAATTAATGTAACAGTTTCGATCCCTCCTATTCCCTTAATAATAGTAAAAACAAGTTATTGAAAAAAAAGGTCTAGGTGTTAAAGACTTGTGTTGCACGACATCTTAATGAAGAGCAGAATTCGTGAAACTCCAATTGGTAAATATCATGTTGCATTCCTATAGGAAATCATATATGAGATTGGGAAATTTTATTTTAACTTATGTAACCGTTTTTTACATTCAACTTAAATTTAAATTCTTAGTTGTCTATTTTATCCTATTACATAATTACTATTAAGTACAAAATGAAATTAATAATAAAACTCAAATTTATCAATAAACCCATTAAACCCTACCATCACTTATTGTTTATCCTATTTTCAATTTGGCTAAACCCCTAATAGGTCTTGTAGAGAAAAAAAAAGTTTTTTTTATTGATGGATGGTGGTTTTGAAGTTTTGAATAGGGGTGGGCACGGTTTGGTTTAGTGTGGTTTTGAGTGAAACCAAAACCAAAACCGTAAGTTTTTGCGGTTTGGTTCGGTGCATTTTTTAGGCTAAAACCGAAATGAAACCAAACCATTTGGTTCGGTTTGGTTTGGTTTCAAACAGTTTTGGTTTGGTTTCATTGTTTGAAAAAACTATTACGATTACTAGTTGATGACAACAAAATTCACATCCACAAGAACCACAACAAAATAATTCAACTTGAGGCAACCAACTTGAGGCAACTAAGAGCACATCAAATCTAGCTGTGAAAGGACCTAAGGTAATCTTTTCCTATCAATTAAGGGTCCATATCAACTAAAAAGGAACAAAGAAGACAAAGCTACAGAACAAAAAAAAAAAAAAAAAAGCATTAAAACCCACATTTTCAGTCTTCCATGTCACCCTGGGATAATCAGGATGCAGTTTTAGCCTTTTAGGACCAAGGTTAAAGACTCTAGGTAAAAATACAGAATTTTCTACGAAATTTTGAATCATTCACGACGTTAACTGGTACCTCCCTACAATATGCAAATATCATATATGCTTTCAATTGACATTCTAATGTTCTTGAACGAAGAAAAATCGAAGACTAACCAACGAAAAACCAAATCCCCTTTTGATTCAAAACCCAACCCTAAACCTAACCCTAAAATTAATCTCAAATCTATACGTAAATTTAACTAAAACAAGTTATAAATCATAGTTCTTACTATATTAGCACTCTGAAATTTAGAAGCTAGGAGCTAGAAAGCTTGGAATGAAGAGGAAAGGAGGCCGAAGGGGAAAGAGAGAGCGTCTGGAACTGGAAGAGTGTAGGAGATAGATGAATAAACTTGAGAAAGAGAACACAAAGTCTTAGTCCACAGACTAGAAGAAAGAAAACAAAGGGTTATGTTATGTGGCCATGTTATGATGTGGTTGAGTCCATACTAAATGTATGGACTTAATGAAAATAACCAATTTTAACATTTAATAACGGTATGCGGTTTCGGTTTTGGTTCGGTTTCGGAGGGCTAAAACCGAAACCAAACTGTTTTTCCCCTATTCGGTTCGGTTTCAAACCGAAACCGTTTTGAAATCGCAAAACCAAACCGTTCAGTTCGGTTTGATTTGGTTCGTGTTTCGGTTGAGGTTTTCGGTTTCAAGTGCCCACCCCTAGTTTTGAATCCTCCAACTAAGGTATAACTCAATTTATGAATATTTTGTTCATTTGATTTCAATTTTTTTAAAGTTTAGAAGATGAGTGTTTGGGTTTCAATTTTTTTCATCAATCTTGAATGATTTGTTAAACTTTCTGCAATTGGAAAATTCTAAGGAAAAACTTCTAACCAATGTTCTTATATTATAAACTTCCTTGCTTGTTCATAAATATAAGGGGATGAATTGTTTGATTTGTTACTTATGCACATCAGTAGAAAGAAAAAAGGCAAATGTATGGGTTTGGTAGTCGAAGGAAAACAAAAGTAGCCATGGAAATGCTAGTGTGAAGAGGGGGGTGGCCGGTGGGGCAAGGACACCTCTTTTAAAAAAATAAAAAATAAAATCAATTACAAATGTTATTTTATAAAGGGAATGAGTGTAAAGATAACTTAACATTTTGACTTGGGTTTGAGAGGGTAGTTTAGGTAATAAATTTGGGTTTAAAGAGAGATTAATTCTTTAATAAAAACAAGAGACCTACTAGATCCACCCCATAATCTTATTTTCCCACCCACGTTATAATCTCACCCACCTTAAAAAGTTAAAAAATTAAAATGCTATTTCCCCACCCACTATTATTCTCAAAATAACCTTTAATATATACATACATGTGAAATTATAAAATTGTCTCTTAAAAAATATAAACAAATAATATGTAAATGAAAACCACTAAGATCTGCAAATTCAAATGGAAACGACAGAGGTATCCAAATTCAAAAGAATTCGACAACGACAAATTCAAAAATACAACGGACAAATTCAAATGACCCACACACACAAATTATTCTTCTACCTTTTCAATGGAAACATAATCTTCTAACTCTTCCGTAGAAGCGTCATCTTCCACCTCTTCAATGAAAAAGTTATCTTCTAAGTCCATTGATATGTTTTTTTTTCACTTTCTTTGAATGAAAGGAGATGAAAATATGAGTTAGGATTTAAGGTAAACAAATCGTCTCCCACGCCCAACCTTTTTTTTTTTTCTTTCAAATCAACCAAAACAAGATAATTAATGTTCTTATCAGTCTGTTTCGCAAATGGACAAATTTGTAATTAAAAAAATTTATTAAAAGGTAGGTGGGAAGATAAGACATTAGAGTGAAAATAACATCACTAAAAAACAATATAGATGAAGATAGTAAGCTGGGTGCGGAAAGATATTACATGGATTCAAATAAAATTTCCCTATGAGATTTGGTAATGTGAGATCAATATTTGTTTGCATAGTTTTTAGGAAAGAAAATCAATTTGATTTGCCGTTGGTTGGTGGGCAAAAAGTTAAATTGGGTTTAACCAAATCAAATTCAATATAATATTGGGATATTGTGAAAAAAGCCCATGATTGTTCCTGTAACCGCTGCCTTAGGGTTTATTTATATATTCTATTAATCAGCGGCATGGTGAGCCAGTTTTGCAGCTTTGCATCATCAACGTTTTGAGCGTGAATTTCATCTAGCAAAGTTGTGGAGCTTAATTGACAGTTAGATTAGAGAGTTATCTGAGTCAAACACTTTAGTCTGCATCATATCATTCATTATGCATGATGAAGCTATGTTCACAAAACTTGGGGCTCTGAAGTGACTACATTCGCGACTAGAGGTGTGCAACTAATAGGAGATGAATAGATGCAAGTACAAGGACAAGATGTCAAGACAGTTTTATAGTCGGTGTCTAGTAAGTTGTGTCTAGCAGCTGACGCTTTACTTATTAGTTGAAAACTATTATGTCTATGCACGGTGTGAGTTTGATCACCGCTGATTCTCCTCTATCCTAACAACTAACTATTTAACCCACGCTATTATTTTTCGAAGAAAAAAAAAAGTTTTTCTTGCATGAGCTTTGTACTTGTTTGTTTGACATTAGTGGATTCTTTAAATGGCAATGTGCTCCTGAAATTTTTTGAATGTGTGTGTGTTTTACCACGTAAAAGAAAAATAGTGTGTTCTCATCTTCTTATTTAATATATTTAATTGTTGCTGCATCGCAAGATTAAAATGCTCGCGAGTCTAAACGTTTTTAACTGGGCTGTTTATTTGTTGGGTTTTGGTTCCTCAACCCATCTACATTTTCATAAGCTTATTTTGTTTTATTTTATCTCAACATATATTTTGATTTACAAACAATATTCAACACAAATCTACAGTAAAGGGAGAAAAGAGTGTTTCAACATAGAATGCAACGAGTTGAGCATGAAGATCTTAACTACTAGAGCAATCCACATGTCTTATAATTTCTTGTATTAGTAAATCAATTGATTCTTCACGATCCTCTTTGTCAATAACTGGAGTGCTAAAAATTAAAGGGGTTATTTCTTTTTCTTTTAAATGAAAGGTAATATTGTTATGATGTAATATAATGTTGAATAATGATTAATTATAAGCTTAGAGAGAAGGATAAACCAACTGATATCGAACAAGAGCATATTGAATTCTAGGAGTCGACCCGATCTGATACCATGTAAATTAATAAAATGATGAGAAATAATAAAAATTAATTAAAACTATGATTCTTTTCATAGACCCAAAATAAAGAAGATTACAAATTGCAAACGACTTTAATCCAAAAGATTACATCTTGCTAGAACTTTCGAAATTACAAAAAGTATATTATAAATTATCCTAGCATAAAAATAAACCAAATTACTACTTAGGGGTCGGCGTTTCCGTTTCCAGATGGCATAGTTGGTTTTGGTACACCTACTTTCATTGCCTGAATAATTTCCATTTGCAGACGCGACCTACTGATTATCTTCTCTACATCATCTGCAATGACAAGATCAGGAACTTCATCATTAGTTACCAAACATATATATGTTAAACAATGATTTAATGTATGCATATGTGTGTGTGTGTGTGTGTGTGTGTGTGAGAGAGAGAGAGAGAGAGAGAGATTTAATGTATATATTAGTACCCTAAATACATACAGTGTTTTGGATTTTCAGAAACATTGGCAAAGGCTACTTTGGATGAGAACAATAGCAATATAATTATGGGAATCATGTAAACAACGCTAGCCTTGTGAACCATATTGCAGATAGATATACAAGTTTGGCTCCGTCGTTCCCATACAACTACTTATATATAAAGCGATAACTAAGACGCGTCTTAGGTTTTTAATTTTGTACAAGTCGTTACTTTACTTACAACTGAGTATTGCATGCTAAGTCAAGGGTTGCCCATTAAGTAATTATCATTTTATGAGTCTTCCATTGTTCCTTGCTGCGAAATTTCTTATATGTGTGTGTGGAAATTTTTTATATTGCATGCTAAGTCAAGGGTTGCCAATTAACTAATTATCATTTTATGAGTCTTCCATTGTTCCTTGCTGCGAAATATCTTATATGTGTGTGTGGATATTTTTTATATTGCATGCTAAGTCAAGGGTTGCCCATTAAGTAATTATCATTTTATGAGTCTTCCATTGTTCCTTGCTGCGAAATTTCTTATATGTGTGTGTGGAAATTTCTTACATGTGTGTGATCCTAGGTAATCTGAAGGATGTGTGCGAAATTCTTTAGGTGTTAGAGCAACTCCAGTGTTGTAAATGCCCCCTAGGGCAAGTCACTACTGAATAGCGTCTAATGAACAATAACTGTCTTTTGCATTTCCATCCCTACACTGAATAGCCATGGCAATAGGTAATAAAATATTAGTATTTTTTATTTTATAAAATAATACAAAATAATTTTATTTGTAATTTCAGATAAGATTTTTAATCGTTCTCGTTGCGCCATTTGTCATTATCCGAGAAGACAATTTTTTGTGATAGATTTCGATAAGATATTTATCCAATGCCCTTGTGCCACGTGTCGTTACCTTTTCAGAATCGGTGAGGATAGATTTATGATAAGTTTTTTAATCAATTATGTTGCGCCACATGTCACAATCTGAAGACAATCTTTAAGGATAGATTTCAATCAGATTTTTAACGAATGACGGCATGCCACGTGATATTATCTACAACCTAATCCTTTCTTTTTCCTCCACATAACTCACCATCCAGAACCAGAAATCACACACCAAAATCAAATTCTCTATCATTATTCATAGTTTCTGCTTCCTTCTTCACCAAAATTAAAATCTCTATCATTATTCATAGTTTCTGCTTCCTTCTTACAATGTCTTCTTCTTCAAGGATGTTGTGGGAAATTGAGGAGCAAGAGAAAGAATTGTTTAAGCAAGGGGAAGAAATGTTCAATCTCTAAGTGGCCCAAAATGAGATGGAAGATGAAGGGGATGAGGAGCATAGAAAGAGAGATGACGAAGCAAGAAGCCAAAAAGCCTTACATTCCCGTCGAATCATCCAAGTTGTGGCTCAGATCTGTAGGCCCAACCATTCCGCAAACCTTGATAAAAGTAGGCAACGACGAGGTACGACAATTATTTTGTCCATAACAGTGCATTCCCTAATACATACTTTAGACGTCGTTTTAGAATGGAACGACATTTGTTCAACAAAATCATGATTGCTGTTTGCAACCACGATTCTTACTTTGTGCAAAAGAATGATGCTTTTGGTGTTATGGGTCTCTTTCTTGAGCAAAAAATTACAGCTGCCTTGCAGATGCTTGCATATGGAGCATCTACAGACTAAGTGGATGAGATAGCGAGGATGGGGAAATCAACCATTCTTAAGTCCCTGATGAGGTTTTGCTCCATAATCAAATCTCTCTACACCATAGAGTACCTCCAGAAACCTACTAAGATGGACTAACAAAGGCTTCTGAAGAAAGCCGAGATGCGAGGTTTTTCTGGGATGATTGGAAGCAATGAATGTATGCACTGGACCTAGAAAAACTGTCGAAGTGCATGGCAATGAGCTTATGAGGACAAAAAAGGAGCAAAAAGTATCATTTTGGAGGCAGTGGTGTCATTTGATACATGGATTTGGCACGCTTTTTTTTATGTTTCGGGGGCTCAAAATGACCTTAATGTCCTTGCCCAATCCCTAGTGTTCAATGATGTCTTGGAAGGAAAAACACCAAGAGTCACGTACTGGGTTAACGGACAAAAGTACCAAAGGCCATACTACCTAGCAGACGGCATTTACCCAAGGTGGTCATCGTTTGTCAAAACAGTGCCACGTCTACGAAGTGCAAAGGAAAAACACTTTGCAAGCTGTCAAAAGGGGTGTAGGAAGGATGTGAAGCGTTGTTTTGGTATCCTCCAAGCTCGTTGGGCGATTGTCACGGGTACTGCCAAAATGTTTGATTTAGAGTCACTTTGATCTATCATCATGATGTGCATCATTCTTCACAACATGATTGTGGAAGATGAGTAGGATTATGATGCTGTTGATGAATATGAGCCAGACACGATGAACAATTCCAGAACACAAATATATTGTGCTCATGACGCCATCGAAGATCCCTTGCAAGACGAGCCATTACAAAGGGATGGACGTTACAATGAAAGGCTCATTCAACGATATACTGCGATTCAAGACCCATATATGCACAATGCCCAACAAATTAACTTGATAGAGCACTAGTGGAAATTGAAACAAGCTCAAGAAACTTAGGTTCATTTAGTGTGTTTGTTTTTATTTGGTGTGTTGATTTAATTTTATTTGGTGTGTTTTTTAAGTTCATTTAGTGAGTTTTTTTCTTTTATTTGGTGTGTTTGTAATTTTATTTGGTATGTTTTTGTCCTTTGAATAAAGATTCTCTTAGTTTAAATAAATTACCAAATTAAATAAATATACTCTTAGTTTAAATAAAGTACTAAATTCAATAAATTGGAAACAACATAAAGGACTATAGTCAATAAATAAGAAATTACAACCCAAAGTGATTGTAAAATTATGGGCTCCGACTAAAAACAAATTCCCTAGTCCCTCGTGAATGGAAAATCATCACCTAACCAATTTGTGGTGCTAGGATCATCTCCTCTTGTGGTGCTAGGACCATCTCCTCTTGCTCTCGCTTCCCTTGCACGCCTCCTTCGCACCATGTTAGCTTTCTCCGAATTCCAAAATTATTTAGAATTCGGTGAGTTCCCCTCTAAAGGCTCTTTCATAATGTCACGATCTTGTTGAGCCCTTCTTTCTTCTTTAATCTCTTCCCTTTCTTGCCTAAGTAGCTCTCTTTCTCTCTCATTAGCTTGAAATAATCTCTCAGCATCTGCAGCATCTGCCTCCTCTCTAACCTTATCAGCCTCAAATTTAACCATTTCCCGTGCCAAAGTCAATTCACCTTGGCGAGCAAGTTCATCCATAAATTTTCCATAATCATTCTTTGGAAGCACTCCCTTTTCTCTTTGAAGCCTTCTTACCTGGTGGCCTAATTGGATATCAGGTCGACCCCGACACTTGTTCAGGGGGCGTTTCCGACACTTCTTCTGGGTCGGTTTCATGAATATGTAAGTCATGAACGGGCATAGAGTGTAGAGGGGTGCTGTTCATGATAACTTCTGGACTGAGAAGCACAACTCTGAATTTAAGACAATCTTTGACAATATTCCAACATTCCCACCGGGTGAATGATTTGTTTTTGTTTCTGGTTTTGGCATTATACCAAGCTTGTGCTTGAAGTATCTACACAATACAGGAGAAGAAATAATTATAATCAAAGTAGCTAACAAATAAATAATACAAACAAATAATTATAATGTAAATTTGGGTATAGTACAAACAAATAAATAATATATTGTTACCTGATCCGCTAAATTTTTCCCACTTCGAAGATTAGCACTAGCTTGTGCCAAGGCGTCTCTCCAAAGACTAAACGATTGGCATAGTATTCTCCAATGACTGGACATCAATTCTTTGGTTCTTTTCCCACTAATTTTTTCAAGATAATTTGTATAAATAACACTACATTTCTCGCAACTGCGTCTCATTACCCGTAATCAGATCATAAGTAACTTCATCCCAGCTAGAACACAATGTAACATCTTTAGGAAGCGGCCAATTCGTACCTGCATCATTAGTCATTTTGTTGGAAACCAATTGGATTGAAACTTTGAGAGAAAGATTGGAATATGGTTGAAAGTATTTGAGAAAATATGAAATTGTGGTGTAAGGTAGAAGATAATGAGAATGTATTTATAGAAAAGTAGAATCATTTTTTTTTTTTAAATGTCAGATTTTTTATTAATGTTTAACATATTTTATTAACTTAATTCATTTCTACCGTTGGATTAAAAAAAATTGAAATCCAAGCCTCCAGATTGTGCCATATGGCACAACAGTAAAATTTCAGATTTTTTTATTGTTATTTCGTTTTCTTTTTTTAAATTTATAAAGGCAAATAACATGGACCATTGATCTCAAATCCAACGGCTAAAATTAACGAGAGTTTGAATTCATTTTTTTTTACCATTGGATTCACAAAAAGTAACCGTTGAAATCCAATGGATGCGAAACTGCCACGTGGCCTCCAATGGTAACCTTCTACCGTCTACACCACGGGCCCCAACCTTCATAAATGTTGTAGGGACGCACCCCCACGTGTGCGCGTTATGCACGCGCCTGATGCAAAAATAATATAATAGTGGCTGACACCACCCTAATGTCAGCATTGCATCACCCTCACCTCGGGCTCTCAGGCCACCGATTCGTGCTGGGCCTGTCGCTCGGGCCTCTTCATGCGCTGAAGCCCACATGGGCTAGAGTTGATCGCCCCAACGATTTGCTCCTGTGCAATCCACGGTCCATCGGGCTAAAGGCCCCGCTGGACTTGCTCTTATAAAAGTGGATGACTTACGCATCATCCCACCACTTCCTATCAGCCAACAATTGTTGAAAATGTGCTGACTACTTTCATATTTCTTGGCTTCAGCACGATATATATGCTTTCCTATATAAAGGCCTATCAACTCACAAATATTATATAAAAGAAAATCTACAACCTCTTGTTTCCATTATTTTGTAATTTCATTTTGATAATGAGAGAGACTACTGCTACTGTCCCGAGTGCTTAGCCACACTTGTCGAACCTCATAAATATTGTGTCTTATTTATTTTCTGTCCTACTGCACATAAATCCTCAATTTTTAAGTTCATAAAAATAATAATAATAATAAATACGAATTTAAACTATATTATTATTAATCTATTATGAGGTTAAACCCACTTTCTCCCTTTTACTAGAGTAACATTTGTTAAAAAAAAATAAAAAAATAAATAATGATGGAAAGTGCAACAGGTAGAGGTGCCGGT